CAGCTCTGGGATTGTAGGGGAGACTTCATATATATTCCATATTAAAGATGCTGCTTTGCTGAGAGCCTGAAGTTTAGTGGGAAGCCACCCGACATGTGATGTTAAGTTCTCTTGAGTACTTAACCAGGTACTTTTTGAATAGTCAGCTCTTTGAAGCTCCTCCTTGCCGTGATCTTGAACTGATCCTGCAGGTGCTTGAAGTACCTGCAGCCCTTTACACAGCATATGTGTTTGAGATGGTGTATCTGACTGACACGTTTGGAGATTGTTTTTCTGTGATCAGATGAAGTTTGTGAAAAGATCTGTTTAATTTTTCTTTTTAAACTATGTAGAATATGCCTGGAGATAGATATACAGATGACAGGACAGATGTTCCTTTGGGGTGTATATTGTTTCCTATTTAACCAAGTTTCTTGGCTCCTGCATAATAAATTTGTTGCAGAACTGGAAACATCTTTGAATCGTTCTCTACAGCACTTGATGGGTGAATTCATCTGGGCTTTCTAATTCATCTAGCTGGCCCTAGATACAACGTTCTGGTATGATCTGTTTATCATATATCTGGAGGCAAGATTTGGTGTGAATGTGTGATAACCTGAGACTTGCTATGCAGATTAAGGACTCTTTGTACTGAGATCTTTTAAATTATTTGGCTAACTGAAGGAATTTCAGGTTGAAGTTTGATTCATGAAATTAAAGTTATGAAAATTATTTGAGCCATCTGATATCTCTGGGTCCTCCATGCAGTGCTTTTCTTGGCATGGTAGGAGATCATATTCATCAAGCAGAAGTGTGGTGTTATTAAATAAGCAAGTTCCACTGTGTCAGATCAGTGACAGTCATTTGATTGACATGTTTTAGGAATGGCTGTGAGGTGTCATTGGGGTAGTCACACTGTGTGTTCTTATTTGTTTAAATCAGCATGTGGCACAGGCTGAGCACTGCAGCAGTACTAAGCAACAGCCATTGATGGGCCTCTTTGTTAGTTTTCCTCTTAGTTTTGATCTTTCTTAAAACAGGAAATTGAGGGTGTACAACTGGGATCTGATCTTCCTTGATCCATTTGCTAAATGGTTTTGTATGTACAGGATGAATTTGAAGAGGATCCTGTATTGTGAAAGTACTCAAGCTTCCTCTAAACTGGGAGATGTTGGTACTATTTCTTTTGAAATGTGAACTAGTGAAGTATTCACAGTTAGTCTTTGGCTTTTAAACGTTTGCCTGGCTCTCAGCTAGAGTGTCCTTATATCCTCTGCTTCTGTAAAGCTAAGGAAGGGATGAACTCTTAAAATTGGGCTTTAGAAATGTGTAATTTTCAGGGTCTTCTTTCCAGAGTGCTGTTTTCAGTGAGTTAATAAACAAAACAACCTCCCTGCTAATATTTCTACTGGCTTTAGAAGAACCTTACAGGTGATGTATTTTCAGGAATACAGCCTGCTTTGTACCCCATGCACTGCCTCATCTGTTGCACTGTGTAGCAAGATGAATGTCCATACTGCTGTCAGGTTTGATGATTTTTTTAATTTTTTTTTTTAGCACCGTGATATGGTTTTAAGAGTAGAAGAAAGCTAGAGTGGTTTTGTGGATATTCTTAAGACTTTCCCTATTGTTGAGAGAAAGTGTGCAAATTCTTCTCTGAAATTTTTTATGAGTTGAATTTGGAGGTCCATGTTGTTGTAGAGTTGATTTCATTACAGCATACATATTCCAATATTGGTAAATAAGTATTTTAAACTCTACTGATGTTTTGAGTATCCATTTCATGGTCTGTAAACCATGGATTTGTATCATTATGTAAGCAGGCGTCACATTGCACCTAGGAAACACAACTGTGTTTGAATTGGTATTTCCATCCCCAGCTAAATTTTGGGAGTACACAGAAGCAGTTAAATAACCAACAGTTTGAAGACTGATCAATTGTAGGAATCACAAAAGAGAGGGAACAGAGCAACATGATAACAAGTCCTGTAGCTGGACTACTGCTGTAAACATAAAGTAATCTTCACTAGGCTTTGTGGCCTTATGCTTTGCACCCTTCCTTATAACTAGGTCTTTGGAAGAAGCTGGGTGCAGCTGGGATTTTTCCTGAGGTTTTAGGAAGTGAGAATACACAAGCATGCTATCACAAGATTTGTTAAAGATCCTGAGTGTACAATCCAGAGTAGACCACACAAACTCTGCTTCAGGATGTTTTTGTTTTCTGTCTGTCAACAAATGTAGTCTGCTATGAAGATTATAATAATGAACTAATAATGTTACTGCATATTCTCTATGGAAACTATGCGCACAGAGAACAATAAAATCTGAAAGTTTATTTTAAGGCAGTAATGCGAGTAAATGTTCTGCTGAAGGTTTGTATTTGTGGTTGTGACTTGTTAAAATGGAAATGGAAAAACAAACAGGAAGAGCAGGTGGGATAGGTTTATTATGGAATATAGGACTATGTCTTGAATTTAACTCAAGCAGAGAGACCGTATCAACCTTAACCCTTAAATGCATTTGTCAGAATTATTCATATATTTAGAAACAAGTCCCCCCCCCCATCATGGCAAAAGTTTAAAGTAGAATAAAAATTAATTAAAACCTGATTTCCTTAGCTTTTTCAATTTGAGCTCTGTAGTTGACTTGTTACAATCTGATTTTTTTTTTTCATATTTGTTCTCTGACACTTGGTGGTCTTATGAAAGAGTTTTTAAGCCCTTATAAAGCTCTAAACTGATAATGTTACTCTGATTCAACTGACCACTTAAACATGTGCTTATGAAGTGTCCATTTTTATTAGAATAACCCTCTGAATCAGGGCTACTAAACAGATGGACTTTTCATTTTTTGCACCTTCTGACTTTTAGGTAAAGCTGTATATTTTTAATATTTGATGGAAATTGATATGCCAGTACCATAAGGTTTGATTGGCAGGCACCTCTCTGGGTTTCCCCAGAGCAGCTGGATGCTCTGTGCTTGGGAAGGAAAACCAAGTTTATTATGGCTAAGTGAAAAACTTGCTATATTTGTTCCTAACATTCTATTTCTGTCAGAACTCCTGACAAACTTAGCATTTAGGCTTGATGGATACTCAGTAAAAAAGGCAGGGGTGTATTCCACAGGTGTGAGTTTATCCAGATACTTCCTTAGGATTACTATTGATTTCTGCTTCATCATGCTTGTTCTAATAAAGGATTGATTTAGTCTTGCTTGATGTGACTCAAAGAAACTTATCCCTTGATGTCAAGCACAGAGTAAAAGCGAGGGATCAAAGTAGGGATTTTTTACTCTAGTTACCAGTAATTAGTTGCCCACAGAAGGATATAGTTCCCCATGGTTTCCAAATGTTTGTTCCTGTGCTTGCTTGGAAGGTCTTCATTATATACCCAGGAGAATGGGGTCTGGTTTATTTGGCTTAATTGCACTGGCCTATAGGAGCAATAGTTGGTTTTCTTTTTTAAAACACAGCAATTTTAAGTAGTTGGAAGAAACAGAAATAATAATTCATGCTTTTTTTACTGTGTAAGCTGTTAGGCTGTAAGTTAGCCCCACATATGGAGGAGTAGATTGGGAGTTTTACAAACTGCTGGTAAAATGCAATGCCTGATCTGTAATCCTTGATTTATACTGTTCTGGGGTATTATTAACAGTGTTACTAATTCTGTGTCATCTTACATGTAAGATGAGTAAGTTCCATGACCAGGGCATGAATTGAATGAGACTTATCCATAGCTGTGATAATAAGCTATGGAGAGACTAGTAACCTCAACTGATGAGAAATATCACCTTTTATAAGTTCTGTGGCTTTTTCTTTCGAGCAATAGATGATGGATTTTCAGCAACCCTCCTGAACCTTGCCCTCAGATTCTCCTCTGTCTCTGTAGGGAGAAGTGCTTGGGCCCTGGCCTTCACCCTCCTTTGGGTCAGGTGAGAAATAGGGGTGTTCCCTCTGAAGTGCCCCAAGTGCTAGACAGGGAATAAGGGCAGGGAGTTCTCCCTTGGCTTCAAATAGTCAGAGAAGCATTTAATCCTGTGTGTGCATTCAGGAGAAGCACAGGGGTTAATTCTGCACTTGAGAGCAAGAAAAATGTTTGAGCAAGACTGAGAGGAAGCAGTAAAGAAAAAGAAATGACACTCTAAGATCCCAGGGGCAGGGGCTCTTGGGATAAAATTCTATTATTGATAACATTACCCAAACTGTATCCGTTTTACCATCCTTGGAGTTTCTGTGAATGTTGTCACTGCACAGTAGTGTAGAACTAGATAAAACAGTTTTCTTCCCAAAAGACTTACCCTTGTTTTCCCAGCACTGGTCTCTAATGGTTTAAGCACAGTCATCTACTTTGTGTTAGATTTTCAGGTACAGTGTAAATAAAGTCATAAATCTAATCACTCTCATTTTAATGGGGAAACAGGGAATTATGCCAGGAGTTGTTCTTAAAGAAGGAGCAAAAGGTAATCTGTGTCTGAACTGGCTGAACTGTGTTCTCTGTAACACTCATTAATCTAATCTGTAAATTTGTCCCCCAGTTCGGGGCTAGCTTTCTAGTGAATCAGAGTGAGTTTGATTACCATACTAGTGAGTGGGGTGAGAGAAAATGAATTGCAAAGCAACTTTTCCTCTTTCCCCTCAACCTTCCCCTTTGTGCAAAAGTGGCCTGATTATTTTTCTACCTGTTTGGCCCAGGAAAGCTGATGTATTTGGGCTGCAGTTGGGAAGGCTGTATCACGACTGCTTTGGGCACATCCATCATGCAGGACTGTGTGGTAAAGATGTTGGAGTCTGCTCTGAAACAAGATGTGTTACTAGGCAGGCAGAGGCAGCTTTTGCTGATTTGTGACACAAGTCAGTATGTCTTCATGAGATACTGTCAACACACTAGCTCATGTCAATGCCAGTTTGGATGCATCTGTACTGGGCTCTGTTATCTAGACAGTATGGAGATACCTTGCTCTAGTTTGAATGCACTTTTCTTGTATGAAAGAAATATTTTCTTTCTGTTTTTTTTTTTCTTCAGGCAACAAGAGCTTCTCTGACTCAACATTGTACCAGTCTGGGGGAGTCACTGGGCAAGGAAAATGATATTGCCCTGATTATTGATGGCCACACACTGAAGTATGCCCTTTCATTTGAAGTCAGGCAGAGCTTTCTAGACTTGGCACTTTCCTGTAAAGCAGTCATTTGTTGCAGGTAAGGAATTTTGTGACATTTTTGGGTAACAAAATGGGCATGAAGCCTGTGAAATGGAAGCTGGTATGCACACTGCCACACTTAAATATGCTGGAGAGCAGCTTGCTTAGTAGTGTCCTCCTATGGAGGAGGAAGCATGTCCTTCATTAAAATTGTGTAATCAAATAGTACAATTCCCTCTGCCAGTGTCAGTCCCAGCTGAGTCTGCTGTCTTCTATAAAGTGATGAAAGAACATGAGAAAACATTGTGCTTGATTGCCCGATTATAGTAGACACTGATGAGAAAGAGTGGTATGGATGTCATTTGTAATCAAAATGTTTGTGTGACTGTTCAGCTCAGCTCTAGAGAAGGTCTCTTGATGAATTTAAGTTTTTCTTGACTTCTAGTTGTGTATTATGTGAGCATATGATAGCTGTGCAATTTGCCCTAATAAAATGTTAGCCTACTGCTTGCTTTGTTAAGTCACAGCAGAGTTTGCTGCTGTTTGTGGATATAGCCATAGACAGACGTGGTCCTATGTCCTGCTTCGGAGGGAAGGAAATAAGAGCCCCAAGAAAATGAAAATCAAAAGCTGGCTTACTTTACTTTTTGTGTAGCAGGAAGGCTGCATCATTTTTAACTTTGAAAGATTATATTATTTGAGGATTTTGTGTGTTTGTGCTTATTGCTGGTATTTGGGGAGAACTGTGACCTAGAAGGGATTGTTGATTTAGGCAGGCAGGAAGTTTTATTTGCATTCTAGAAGCAAGGCCTGCTTTGTGGGAAATGACTATATGGAGACCTTGTACTACTTTTTTGTAGTCTACTTTTATGTGTGCACTCTTGTACAAGTATCACATGGCAAAAGCAGTGCACCTGAAATAGCTGAACCCTTGGACTTTTTATCTGACTAGTTTCTTTCCATTTGTTTTCTGGACTGCTGTACTGCATGATACTGGGGCTAGAGCTGTTCAATGTGTTCATTAATCCCCTGATGATTAGATGGAGTATGTCCTCAGCAAGCATCAACAAATGATACAAGACTGAAGCGTGATTGATAGCACTGAGGGCTTGTCTGACCTTCTGAGGTTCTTCAATAGGTTGAAGAACTAAGCAGCAGAACCTCATGAAGCTCAAGAAGGGGAAATGCAAAGTCCAATGCTTAAGGAGTTACAATCCCTTAAAGCAGTAAACTGTGGGGATTGCCGAGCTAGAAAGCACCTTTTTCCAGAAGGATCTTTGGGTCCTTGGTGGACAAGCTGACTGTAATGAATTCAGCAATGAATCCTAGTGGCGAAGCAGACTGGTGTTACCCTGGGCTGCAGTGTAAAGAGCATTGGTAAAGGTTGAGGGAGGTGATCCTTCTTCTCCACACTGGTAACTTCTGGAATGTTGTGTCCAGTTCTGGGATTGTTAATATAAGGCACAAACAGGTTTAATGGAGAGATTCCAGTGCAGGACCATGAAGATGACAAAGGGGCTGGAGCATCTGTCATACAAGGAGAATCTGAGAGCTGGAAGTGTTCAGCCTGGAGGAGGCTCAGAGGGGTTTGTGTCAGTTTGTATGAACATGCAGTAGACATGAATGAAGATGAGGGAGACAGGCTCTTCCCTGTAGTGTTCAGTGATAGCAGTTTTTCTTCTGCTGCTGCTGAATTTTTTTTAAATTTGGGCAGTGGCCTAGAGGAAGAAGGCACAAAGTCATAGAGCAGAGGTCTCATTTCTGCAGGTATTTCATGGAGTTACAAGTGTTATACAGGAGGGAGCTAACAGAAGTGCAGCCATCTTCAGAACGCAGCAGGCCCCAATGTAGGGCCACTAAGAGGGCTGGAGTAAAGGTACCTGGGGCTTCAAGAACAGTGAGTACCCAGGAAGGGACCTGACCCTGTGTTGTGTTCTGTTCGAGGGAAAGTTAACAAACAGAGCAGATTGAAAACTCCTGCTTTCCTACTCCAGCACAATGCTTGGGCAGAGATCCTTCCAAGGCACTTTGTTAGTTTATTTCTCGAAGATTTGACAAATTAAGTCAAAGACTTATGTAGCTGGAACAAATCATAAATAGCAAATTATTAAAATTACACATCAAATATATGTAATTAGCTGAATATAATAAATGGTCCTGTTTTGCCAAGAGACATGCAATACTGGACATTTCCTCTTCCAGTATTTCATGAGGGCAGCCAACAGGAGTTTTATTTATTAGTGAATTAGCAAATTGAGGAACAATGCAAAAAAGTACTTTAAAGTATGAATCAAAGGGGAAGAGATGATGTAATTTCATAGCTTAAAAGGAGGAATGAAAATAATTGAGTTTTAAGTCCCCAGGGAAAAAGAGGAATGCTTTTAATAACGTTTAAGGCTTTTCAGGAACCTTCCAGTCACTTGCCAGGTGCTTGATACTGAAGGAAGAAAAACATATTTTTTTAATGCTCTGGGTTGTTTTTGATAGTACTCTGTATGTCAAATAAGGCAATGCACTCTGCACTTCACAAGAAGTTTTAAAATGGAATTTACAAAGAGGACATTTCAAATTAGAGTTAGCCTTCAAACAAAAATGTTAATTGGGAGGGGGATGTGGCTCTTTAACTTAGTGGTATGATGTTTAATCACAGTAGGAGGAGTTTCCTTGCTATTCTCAACATTGCACAAATTTGTGGGGCTTAATATTTCATAAATTTACTAAAACATTTTCATCTTCTCTGGGGAGTTTCAGCTGCATTTGCCATTCAATTTTTTTAAAAATAATATAGTTAGGACATACTGTATATTCATTTTCTGGGCTTTAGGCATAAACTGTAGTTGAACTTGGTTCTCAGGGGTAATCTATTAAAATGAAACTGTAGTAAACCTGGCTCCTTTTTGCATTAAGATCGAGAGATGGTATCTTCTGATGGGGTTAAGTCTTCCACTGTTACAGTGTCTCTAGCAGGCCACTGGCGCAGTGGAGAAAAATATACCCCTCGGGAGACTTGGTAAAGCTAGCAAAATCAAATCAAACAACTCTAAGAAAAAGCCTTGTTTGTTAAAAGTTTTTCCAGAGACTGACAGATCTCATTATCTTTCCTCACACTGACTGGGATGTCAGTATGTCAAGAGCAAGCAAAACTTACTTTTCAGTGGAAGTAAATGTTGTTTGGAAGGCAGTTGAACTCATTACTTCATTTATGAGATCTGAGCTGATGATTACCTGTCTCTGGTTTTCAAAAGTTCCTTTAATGGACCTGTTTTTAGAGATGTTTTGTGAGACACAAAATGTTAAGGCTTGGGTAGAAGTGAGATTATTCTTTTAATAACAAAATTGAGTTATCATTTGAAATTTAAAATTGATTTATCATTCATCTAGTGATTATACACTAGCTGGTAGGTACAGCATACTGTTGAATTTGGCTTTGAATATTAAAGTACCAGAGAAGTATATGAATTGTGTGTTATGGCATTTAATATTTAATTATTTAATATTTTTAAAAATTCAATATAATTTTTAATTTATATTTAATTCTCTACTGAAGAGCCTGCCTAGAACTGGAAGTATTTGTAGTTGGATTAATGTGGTGTTTCAGAAACACATTTTTATAACTATGCTTTGGGAACTTTTTCTTCTTGTTTTTGCATAAAACTTGTTTGCAGGTGGCATTGACTCTGCCTTTGTATGGGTTTAATGCCATATTAACAAGACATCCATCAGGAAGAAGAAATCCATCAGCATTTAAGAGATTCAATAATTCTAAGCAGTTTATAAATGCTTCAGTAATTAAAATTAATTGTTGGACAGCCAAAGTAGTCCTTTGTTTAATTTCTTTCACAGTTGTAAGCACAACAGAACAAACCTCTCCAGAGATGTGTAGCATCAGGCTGCACTGGGCTGCCTCAGTGTGAATCTTTTCTCTTTTGCTTGTATTACTGACCATTACAAAATGGATGTTTTTTAAACAACCCCCAAGCAACAGGAGAACCCTGTTCTACCTGTGTTGCTATTGCTTGTCGCATGCAGGGAAGCTGGGGTGAGGACACGAGCCCACATGCTCACTCTGAGAACAGACACTAAATGTTCTGAAATGAACATACTCTTTGACTGGAGTGTGTCTGCTTGGCTGTTGAATGGGTAGGAGTAGAATGAATTGAAAGCAGAAGGTTGGAGAACGGAAGACAAAAAGCAGCTTGTGAAGAGTACATGTTGCTTGCTAATTGTTAGAGTCACTTCACCAGCTAAGGAGAGCAGAGAGATGAAGAGACAAGAGGAAAGTTCTCTCAGCACTGCAAGTTGTAAGGCTGTAGCTGGGGTGCTTCTGGTCTTCCATCGTGATTTAGAGGAGACATTAATAACATAGCTGACAAAATGAACATCTGGAATGCTTCTTAAATATTTATTCCCCCAACTTGCGTATTGTGTGTTAGTATTCGACAAAATGATTATTCTGTGCTGTAGTTCAGTGTGTATTTATTTATTGAACCAAAAAAGTCTCTTGCTGGCTTTCATTAGATAAGATCCCCATTTTCATGACAAAAAATTGCAACTCAGTTCTGATTAAGAGTGTGCTAGCCAATTCTAATGTTAATTGGTCCCAAAGAAAATTATGGTTGTGTTACATTTTCCTGTATGTACATCTTGTGTTTCCCCTCATCTGTCACCTACTAAATAATCAATGCTTATTCTCTTGTTCTATTTCTGCCAACTCATGACAGCAATATTCATCTCATGACTTTGAAAACCATGAAGGAAGAACCATTCTGACAGCTTTAGTGTTTCTAGATAATTGAAGTGGGAGGAAGGTTTGCAGTTGTAGCATTACATGTTGCTCTCTGCACTCTTGAATGAAGAATACTCACAGATGATTAGAAACGATCACCTAAACTGTTCAGTGTGTGTGTAGGGATGTGTAAAGCAATCCTGGGACTTTCTTATGATTATTTTTCTTAAAAGCCTGTTGGCTTCTTTGCAAGAGCTAAGTAAACTTGGAAAATATCACCAGTTCTGTGCTGGAAAGCTAATATGGGCAAACTTTAGGAGGGCTTATAAAAT